ATGGAAGAAAAGTGACAAAAAAGAGAAATGAAATCTGAAGGAATAAAAGCATTTAAAGGAAGCAGTGAGGTTGCTGTTCAGCATAGCCTCTGACGGTGAAAGTATAACCTGGCTTAGGTCTGCAGAATGGCAGGTCATGGCGTTTGGAGGCTTAGCCTGTGAAGACGCCGTGCTGCCACCCCCAGGCCCTGGGCTCCTCTGTAACTGGAAGGAGCCACAGTGCTCACTGCCAAACCCAGCCTTATTGTGAACAGGCTTAGAAGGAGCCAGAGGAGACATTATTCTATCCACTGCTTGTGCTAAGCTTCTCCCAAATGTCAAGTGGTGTGGAATTACAGCGATAAGTCATGCATTAATAGAACCACACACATTTAGACACAGTTGCTCGTAAGAGCCAACATCTTTTTTTTTTTAAATTAATTTATTTACTTTAGGTGCATATATCTGGCATTTCTCCCCATATTAAACCTTCCCACCCTCCCCTCTCTCCCCACCACCCGCTGTCTCTCCCTACCCCCTTGAACTGCCCCCAGTGTGTGATGCTCCTCTCCCTGAGTCCACATCTTCTCGTTGTTCAACACCCACCTATGAGTGAGAACATACAGTGTTTGGCTTTCTGTTCTTGTGTTAGTTTGCTGATAACGATGGTTTCCAGATCCATCCAAGTCCCTACAAAGGACACAAACTCGTTTTTTATGGCTGCGTAGTATTCCATGGTGTATATGTACCACATTTTCTTTGTCTGGTCTATCATTGATGGGCATTTGGGTTGATTCTATGGAAGTCTAGTATTTCTTTTTTTTTTGAGACAGCATTTCCAGTTAACACTCAGAAACAGGTTGTTCAGTTTCCAGGTGGTTGTGTGGGTTTGTATGTGTTTCTTGATCCTGAGTCCTAGTCTGACTGTGCAAGAGCCAACATCTTTGACTCTTCAAGCACAGGCAGCAGCAGGGACAGATGGGGGGCAGGACCCTGCAAGCCGGCTGCGCCTCTGATCCCCACTCCCCCTCATGACTAATGTATTTAGATTTTCATTATAAAGTTTACACAAGTTTCTTAAATTTTCAAAAACTTACTTGCCTCTCGTCCTTTATCTATGTACATTTCAGATAAAACTGGTGTATATCTCCTGCTTATTTTCCTCATATTATATTTTTTACAAAGAAACAAATGTAAACTTTCTAATAGCCTGCATTTCCCAGTTGCAAGATAACTGTTTTGTGTAGACCACATCTATTTCAGAAAGATAACCCATGTAGATTTCTTTATTACGTTATCTGAGTTTATACCAGCATGACTTCAATTTGTGATATTGTTTATCTTGATTATTTTTAAAAACGTTGTCACAGTTAGAGTGATATCACCAGTGAGACGAGCACCACAATTGTTCCAGCCAGCCCAGCCCCATCAGAGGAACAGGCTGTGGAGAAACTGAGAGAAAAGATTTCATTTCAGAACACAGGAAAAGGAACATTACCATCTATTATCCAAACAACTCTGTTATGAAATAATGACTGAAACTGCTTCTCTGAGTAGCAAGCCTAAAGATGGAGAACCCAACCTTCGATCAAGTGAAGATCCCTCCTCCAAAAGTGGACATCTGTTGGAACCCAGTGAGGTGAACTTGACCTGCAGCCTCAAGGAAGTGGACCCAGTCAGGCCTGCTCTCCTGAGCAAGTCAGGTCTGAGTCATCAGACGGGATCAGCTACTCACACCTCCCTGTGTCCTAGCGGGGGACTGTGGATGAAGATCAAGGAATCATCTCTACAACTCAGTCAGCTGCAAGTAGTGAGCTCGGAGACCAGGCCCTGTTCCCAGCGGAACCATTCATGGCTCTGCAGCTGAGACGCGGAACATGCCTGCTGCGGTGACTCCACCCTTGATGTGACCCCTCCCATCACAGCTTTCTTCACCCAGAGGAATTTAAGAACATTGCCTTCAGCTGAAAGTGTCACCTTGCCTCAGTGCCAGGCTGTGGCTTCTCAGGAGGCTGTCCCTGTCCAGCTGTCATGGGAGAACATGTGCAGAACTCTGTGGCTGGGGATTTGGGACCAAATACTGTCTCTGGATGGATGGGTTCCTCTTCCATCTGCAACCCAGGTTCTAATGCCTTACATGGGAACCTGCTAAGCACAGCGAAACCCCTTCCTGTGCAGTCTGTTGGTTCAAACTGCAGAAAGGAACCACGGGATTCAAGAGTGACATCAGGATGGGGTGAGATGCTTTTGCTCTGTTGTTGTTGTTGTTATTTAATAGTTGAATTTTTTTCAAATGACCCCACAAAGCTAGTTTGTTTCATGGAGTTACAGGTTGGCCTTAATTTCTTGTAAGCTTTGTGTTTTGTCTTAAACTCAGAGCACCACAACATATTTTTGTGCAAGCGTTCTTGAAGATGGCTTAAAACACCCCAAGCGCCTATGCAGGCGACAGGCTGCCTGTGGCTTTGTCTTCCTTACCTCTCTTTTGCTCTGTTGTTGCAGTTTTGCGATGATTTCACCGAGGAGATGTCCCGTTTAGAGTTGAATCCCAGAGTGAGCGAGTGCTTCCACCTGTGAGTCTCTGGGTGGCTGTTGCGGTGGAGAGGCAGCTCCCTCAGGGGCATCTGTGGGGCAGCTGCTCTCTCGCTGGTGGTCACCGCACCCCCATAGCTGGGAGTGGTGCTTTTCCTGACATGGCACACATGCTACTGGGGTGCTGTCTTCTCTGCCCTCCAGAGCAACTGCGTGAGGATGGGGCAAAGACGGGTTGGCTAGGCTCCACATCTGGAAAGTTAGAGCGTCTGTGGTTTTCTTTTAGGTTAAGCAGTGGCTTAAGATTTGTGAGAGAAAACAGGAAGACATGACTGACAGTGACACCAAAGAATTCAGTAGCTATAATGGTGAGTTCGATGTAATTTTAATTCTTTTTCCCGGGCTGGATGGAGGCAGGAAAAATTGTTGCTAGGCCTCTGTCGAGGCTCAGGCAGTGACAAGGACTCCTGCATCTGGATCACTTTGAACTGTAGCTCTGAGCAATACACAGGCCATCTCATGGACTCGTTGTCATTGAACCCATTGAGCTCTGGTCAGGGGTCTGCTGTCAGTTGCATCTTTGTGCCTTATTCTCACCCAGGGAGTGTCTGAGTGCCTGAGGAGGGGACGCTTCCCCATGCCTGTTGTGTTGGGACAGCTTCCCAGACCCACCTTCCTGTGCTCAATGCTGCAGGCATTGGGGTCCTCAGCTCCACGTCAGTGGGGAGAAGGCAGCCTTCCCGGGTGCTCTTCTTTGATGTAACAGTTGCACTCAGAGTCAGTGCTTGATTTCTCCTTTCTCAGGGCCAGGCTCTCCCTGCCCCTTTCCACCTCACACCGGCACTGCCATGGATCTTCTCCTCAGGCCCCATTTTGTCATAGTACATGTTACAATGTACACTGAAATCTGAATATTTTACTTTTTGTGTCATTTATATTTCATTGTTATTAATTTATAAAATCATACAAATTTGTTTGTAGCACTATTATTACAATCACTGAAAGCTCAGAGATCCTGGTCCCTCTACTTGTTCATTTTGTAAAATGGGACTGAGTGCAACTTATTGTCATTTATCAAAAGAAAGAAGGAGAGAAACAAGTCAATCTTGGGGCTCTGCCTTCACTTGGTAAGGGGAGTCTTTTTTACTAATTTATCTGACAGTTGCCTTACATAAGCTTTTGAAATACCTGGAAATGCAGTTTTAGCATGAACTCTGAAGGCAAGAGTCTCTCACATGCTCAATTGTAGCTGCTGTAATTCCAGACTCCACATCTTTCCTGGTTACAACGACCATTTGAATGGCAGGGAGTGGGGAAGGGAAGAGGGTCAGCAGCTGCTGTGTTTCAATGTCCCAGTTTTGTGACCACTACTTGCAAACCAGCATTGGTGGAGAGGTTTGTCTTCCCACGTGCCTCTTGGCGGCCCTTGTTTACCTGGTGAAATCAGGTTGCCCCCTCCCACCTCCCCTTTCCTGGCTTTTCCCCTCTACTTTCAGATCCTCAGCTTAGATGAAAAGCAGGTGATTGAAGGAAAGGGTTGAGGTGAAAGGTGGGCTGTGAAGACTTTTTAGGGGTGCCCATGAGCGTGTGAATGGAGCAGTGTTGTCTTTGGAAGTGGGGGGCAGAAGAGAAGATCCCCACTGAGAGTGACAAGGGAGGGGTGGCCAGAGTTGTCATCACAGGCGGGGTGGCGTGGGGCTGCGGGACCTCAGCGATGAGCCTGGCTTTTGTCCCCACCGCACGGTGTATTGATGTTTCTCATTCGCCTTTTCTTTTTCTCCCAGAAACGACTAGTTGACTTTGTCAGCTGTTAAGATATATTTCTTCATTTCTTCTCCAGGCCCATGAATTCTGGGCCCTCAAACCATAAATGAATATCAACTTAGAGCCAGAGCTCCCTTGTCAAGGTGTTGAGCTTGCGTGTATTACCCTCGCTTGAAGCACACTCTGCTCTGAGACACACGTGGCTTCTCCCCCTGCCTGGGTTACAGAACTCTCTTATGTGCTCAGCCTGCTCTTAGGACCTTACAGAAGAGGAGTCCTACCCGCACCAGTGTGAGTGCCTGTGCCTGGACTGCTTGTCCTCAGCTTCCCTGGGCTGGCTCCTTCTGGGACACTTTCCTCCATTCTTCCCAGACTTCTTATAAACAGCGTTCTGGCAGCACCATGGCTGCTCACACCCCCTGTGCACGTGGCATTGTGATCGTCTCTCTCCTTGTCTGTATTCTTTGGAGCATAAGCTCTAAAGGTGGGAATATCATTCATATCCTAAGCATCTAGCTCAGTCTTTTGGACGAAGGAAATATGTAGAAAATACTTGCCAAAATAATTAGATACAAGGACCTTCAATTTGGATTTCTCTCTCTGTTAGGATCTGGAAAATATTTGTGCCATTTGGACCTCCGTGTGAAGTGGTGTTAAAAGGTGAAGTCCGGTCTAGCCAGCATTTGGTGTCACTCTCACTGTTACTGTGGGGAGTCCTGTTATGAAGGTGAGAACTTGTAAATGAGTCTTTGTCATACTTGGCAGCTTTCTCCCCAGCCCCCAAATCCCCCTTCATGGTCAGAGTGTGCGAGGGAGGCAGATGGGTTGATTCGGTAGTCCAGGGTGTGTTCAGCTGATGTCGGTGTCTCCTGTGAGCCTAGAAGGACTGTCTCAGATGCAGAGCTCTTACGTGTACTTGGCTCTGGTTTATTTCTCTGTAGTTCAAATCTTCAGAATCATTACTCATATTTTTCTTTGCTTAGCCTTTCAGCTTCTAAGAGATGGTTGTAGATCTGAAATTTCTCTTAGAAGGAGAATTATACACCCTATCATTTTTTTCTTGGGTATTACGCAGCTATATTGTTACATATGTTTAGGCTTAGGATTGTTTTGTCTTCTATGTGGAATGGTTCCTTTTAAGAATTCTTGGCCAGACTTGGCAGCTCATGCCTATAATTCCAGCACTTAGGGAGGCCTGGTAGACAGGACCACTTCATTCAGGCCAGGAGCTTTAGATCAGCCTGGGCAACCCAGTGAGACCCTGTCTCAAAAAAGTTTTGGAAAATCAGCCAGTTGTGGTGGCCCAGGAGGTCCAGGCTG